GTTGTTGCCCGTGGTTTTTTTTATCACAGTTGGAGGTGTCCAATTGTAGTTTTTTCCACGTAAAATCGTTGTCTCTTTGTCTTGATTGTTTGATTGGGATTGTTATATTCTGCTTAAAATTAATACATAATCACAAATCAACATCTAGAGGATTTCTAAATTTTTCAATAATGATATTTTTCATGATCGCACCAAACACATCAAAATTGACTGTCATTTCATTCGTCAACATGTCAATAGTGGAATTATCTAACTCCAATCTATTTCTTCTAAAACTCATCTTTGTGGTCATTTTCATGAGTTACTTTCCAAACTCCAATTGGTCTCTTTGAAACCATCTTGAGTTTAAGGGAGACTATTAGTAAATGTATATTAGGATTAGGATTAGGATTTACATTATATAATAAGATTAAGATTCTATTTCTTGTCCATCACTCTTCCTTGCCTATATATATTGGTCTTCATTGTATTGTATTAGGTTATATACACAATATTATTCAATAAACCTTTGTATTTCTCTAATTGTGTCAACACGGATAAAAATGAATTAAAAACACTTTGCAAGCATATACAATAATTTTCATTCTATACAAAGTCAACCATCACATTGCAGCAGCATATGCTGTCGATCCCATTCATAATCCTTGTAAATCATCAAAATTATTGAATGGAACTAACAAAAAATATTGATCAGCCTATAACAGTTTCTCCTGTGTAGAAAAAAAATAAAAACAAACTTCAGCAAAATCAACCCAAAACTTGGTGGAGAAAGGACATCCGTCTCCCAGTCTCACATAGCCCCTACCTCCTGCGTTTCAGGAACTTCTTTCATAAAATTGAGCCGAGCTTGCTTGGTTCGCTTAGTAGGAACTGACAGAAGACAACAATAATTAATCAATAACTCTGCCTAATAATCTTAGGGGCAAACAATACCATTGTTTGTCTACAAGAAAATCAGAAGGAAAGACCAATACCTTTTGCCTTGCTGTGGTTATTAGACTCAATAACATTAGATTTCCATTCCTCATAAGCATGTTTCTCTGTACGTTTACGCTTCTTGTAACATGAAAGCTGTGAACATATCACATCAATAACATCTGGTTAGGTCAGAAACTTAACATAGCAGTCCTGATTTATGAGTGCACGAGTAAACTTAGTAAATCAGCTATTCTCCCATTTCAAGTTAAGATGTAGATTTGTAAGAGCACTACATCAAAAAGTTAACAAAGATACTTTATAATAAATGAGATAAATGCATAAAATGATTGTTTTGCTGACATCTGATTTTTTTAACTAGTATCATTAATTTGAAAGAAGAGAACATCAAAGCCAAGGATGGGCATTGCAAGTCCATCCTATAAACATCTACCAATGACAAAAGCAGCCTTGGCCTTGTTGAGTCTGAAGATAAGAACCGGAAAGCCAACAAGCTTGGGGAAATAGAAAGAGGGTTTTTAGGTGAGATAGCAAAGCATATAATAGATTTATTTGTTGCGAATTCTTATTGTTCCATCTTGGCTCAATTCATAAATAAAATTCTTTCATATTAATTGCTAAAAATGATAGCACATTTCATAACTAACATTTTGGATAAAAGCTTTGGCAACCTGTCCAAAGTTAAAAAAAAAGTGAAGGTTTGGCACTTGCATATTTCCAAAATAAAAAATAAAAAAATAAAAAGAAAAAGAAACCGAAACCATGAAGCAAAAAGAAAGCAACATCATACCAACAGATGCATCCACAAGCACATACCCAAGCTGATAAAAAACAGGCTTGAAAGATTAGACATCAGCAATAAAAGACTGGTTTTGCATCTGTTATCCTTTGCCAGGTCAACAAGTAGGACTATTGTAGTTAACCTTGTTTCCATACCCCAACAATTTTACCATTTGGGTTGCCCTTAACATAAAGGATACAAATGATTACATGGGGCACTATCTAGATCTGAATTTTTTTAGATGCAATGCTTCCCTCCAACATAAAAGTGATACACTACACCATGAAGAATTCAGAATATAATTCTGAGACAAGAAAAATGCCAACATGAATCAAGACGTAGTGACTATTGGCATGAAAAGAACCTTCTATTGGGTTCTGCAAAATATAGGTCATGCATTGTCAGTTTAGCCTTGCATCAATAGTTTTGTAGTGCCTTGGTCTTGTTTATTGGTTTTGCAGGGGAGAAACCCAAACCAACAGGTCATACAAAAAACCAAATTGGTGAGAGGCAAATGGATGTGCTGACTTGTTGGCAAGGGAAGCTCTTTTAATGAATCAGGTCTTGGTAGCCAATCATGTGTTGTCATCTGCTATCTAGTATTTACTGAACTTGGATTTGTATGGTGGAGGTCTTCCCCATTAGGTAGTCAGTTTGTTTGGGTCTACAGAACCCCTTTGGGGGAAAAAAAAAAAAAAATTGATGAATCTACTAGATTTGTCAAGGTAAACAAGATCAAGCTCCTAGTTTAAACTAGCAGTAACATATGGTAAAACAGACAAAACACAGTTTGGAGCTGGTGCCCCTACCAATTCAGAACAAATATATCAAGAAGTCAACAAGGAAACAGGGCTAGCTTTGTAGAATGTATTAATTCAGTTATATCAACTGTATGACAGACTTTGTACACTCATTACCTTAATCTATCAGAGTTTAATGATCAATTTCTTCACAATAACACCATCTAAAAATCAAATAAATTGGTATTGCTAATACATAGAAAACAAAATCGTTAAGAGGCATTTCTCATAAGTACCTCTTTTCCATCATCAGATGAATAACCACCATCCTCACATCTCCTTTTTTCTGGTAATGCATCCAGCAAGTCTACCATCCACAAGGTAAATTGCAAAATGAGTTCAAGATGAGGCATAGATTTTGAGATCACTAAGTCTGATGACTGATCAAGTAAATCCCATGGACAAAAATTGCAACATGCACATGGTAAGAAGGTGAACAGAAAGGCCAATAATAAAAAGTCACCTCTATTCCCTTTCACATCCCTTGGATCTTTCTTTTCCTTTGATATCCCAAAGGCATCATGGCAAAGGTCCTTCATCGAGGTGGACACCTACAATTTTAGAGTCAATTGGTATCAGCACTAAAAATTTTAACCAAGAAAATCTAGATGTCAACAAATGATTATGCATTTAAGATGTGGTGTTGCTTACACTGGAAAATTCAGATTCCGATGTACCACAGAGCTCAATTAACTTAATCTTATCAACCTTGAGCTGCAAAAGATAAGAATTAAAGTTAACTCCAACGTGTTGAAAAACATAATCAAACCACTCCCCAAATACCCCCATTTTGAGCAGCCACATGTGTGTGTGTGAGAAAGACAGAGAGATCTAGAGAGAGAGCTTTAGGTACCTTATGCTTCTTTGCACACAAGTAGAATGCTACAGCAGTAAACACAGGCCGAGTGAAGTCGGCACTGGCCCTACGGGTAGCCGGTAATGATTTAAGAAAACGATCCTTGTATCTGGCAAATAAACAACTATCAGTTAATAGCAAGCATCTCCAAGTTGACATTCCAACATAGATAACTTGATCATACACTGACAATTCGACAAGTCTTATAAAAAGGGGTCACAAAATTTTAAAAAAAAAGAAAAAGAAAAACTAGGCCGAATGTTTATCCTACGATCATCATTAACAAAACGTCCTATTGTTCAATTGAATGCACAATCAAATAATTGTCTATCTAACAAACAAAAGCACCCAGTGATCTCATATGTGGTCTAAGCATTTCGTCGAACACCAATTAAGCATACAAGTGAATACAAATAGACATTGATTGAAAACAAATTGAAGTGCTTGTTATGATCAAGGACAATGTGTCTTACAGAGATAAACCTCTCTGGACAAAAGGGATGAGCCGAATGCATCCAAATTGAATACCCAGTTCTCTGATATCAAGCTTGTTCCTACAAAGATTCCAGATTTTAGTCAAATCTCAATAAACAAAGTATGAAACATAACAAACAACAAAATAAAAGAAGAGAAGAAGAAAAAGGAACCAACTTAACACCAAGACCATTCTGCATTGCATTGAAGGACCTAATGTAGGCTTTCTCAGACATCCCACTCAACCTTATCGCGCTCTGTCGATCACACATAACTTCAAACCTACAACCAACAGAAACCAATCAATGCATATATATATATACAAATAGACAGTCATTCAGATATACATACCTAGTAGCAGCGATTTCTATGCAAATTATGGCCTTACAAATCTCACCCTGCGAATGACAAGCACAATTTTTCATAGTCAGCAATCTGAAATACAAATCCAAACAATGGGGAGGGGTGAAAATGATGAGAGACTTACAATTCCGATGACGGAAGAGTCGAATTGGATGTCGGAGAGGCGGCGGAGCTCGGCGGCTTTTCGGATGACGTGCTTGGAGTCGGAGAGGCCTAGCTTATTGGCTATGTCTGTGATATCCATTTTGGGGGGTCTTCGAATTGATGTTGGATTGGGCAATCGAGAGAGACAAAGATAGAGGAGTAATGGTGGTTTTGGTTGTGCATTTTATTGATTGAGAGAAAGAGATAGAGAGAGAGGAATGGCGGGAACAGAAAAATTGGAGGGTCGTGTTTTTTGGATTTGAGGTTTCCATTACGCGCGCCCGAAATTAACCAGTCTTTTCCCGGGAAATTTTTTGGCGGCAATTGAAACTGTTAAAGTAAACGTTTTGTAGTCGTACTCATTGAGGCCACGTTTTTATTTTTTTATTTTTTAAATTTGAATAAAAGTTTCATCTCATCTTGAACGTTTTAAAGACATTTTTTCATTTTTGGTCAAATTATTGGTCGATCGAAAAGATAATCGGGAGGATGTTTGATCAATCATTCGATTAGTGTAAATTTACTAAAAGTCTAAAACTAGGAATAGATTGTTCGGTGTATGCTCCCAACAGCTAGGTACAGTAATTTGATAAAATAATTTAATAAAAGGCTTCAGACATGCTTAATTTAATAATAAAAAAAATTAAAAATCTTTAATCTAATATTAGTTTGATGTTAATGTTGGAGCACTAAAAATGAATTTCTTTCATCAAATTTAAATTTGATAAAAGAAAAAAATAAATATTGGAGACGCTCTTAATATAGATTTTTTGGGGGAATTTACTAATAAGTTCAATATATAAAGTTCAAAACCCATTTAATCTCAAAATAAAATACTTGTACCAATTAGTCCTATATATTTTCAATTGTTACTGTACGGGGAGCAAATATTCCGGCGTGCCCGTATTCCTTTCTTCCAAGCTCCGTCGATATCCGATCACCTGTGAGCAAATAACGGTGAGCTACCCGGCGGTGTGTGGCCGGAAACACCCTCCGACGGTCAAATTAGCACACACCTTAGGATGGATAGAGAGAAGGGAGAGAGTGTTTGAGTGTAAGGATTTTCTTACAGAGATGTTCGTGTGTTGCGTATGGGGGGCGCAGACATGCTTATATACCTTCTGAGCCCCATATCCACTCCCTGTCATCTCCTGACACGTGGCTCTGCTATCCCATCTGTCAGCATAAACCATGCCATTCATCACCTGCTCTCAACTGCCTGTCAGCACAGCTGGAGCTCGGCAGCCGAGCTGCCCTTCCTCGGTCATACCATGCTTCATACCTCAAGCGCCTAACCGGATAGACACACGGAGGACCGGGCTAAGTGGCATCCCGGCCGAGCCTAGCCCGGATACTTCGATCGGCCTTCCTGCCGACCATACAGTCTCCTCGGCTGACCATGCCTTTCCGGGCACCGGCCACTCAACTTCCTCGGTTGTCCATGCCTTCCTAGGCGCCGGTCACTCGGTCAATCCGGCTTTGGCCATCCTCGGACCGGGCACCCTAGTCCGACAAAGCACTGCCTTACCGAGCAGTTTCTGTCCGGTCCGGGGTGACACTCAGCCCGTACTCTGCCCGGCCCAAATTCTGGCAGCCCACTTTGGGTGAAAAGTCGATCGTCTCGGACCCATGCACCGTTGGGCCCTCAACTTGCTCAGTCGATATCTCGGCCCAACTCCAGATCATAAATTACCCTCTCATTACCAAATGCTACGCAAAATATATTTTTCTTGTAAAGTTTAAGAAAAATCCTCCTTACTCAAGGTATTAATAATGAAGATTAAGAAAAGCAACATCTCCAAAGAATTATTTAAAAGAGTCTTGTTAGCTACTCTTATTAGACTCATCCTATTATATACTCCATCCAGTTGACAGTACAACAACTATTTTAACAAAATTATTTCAAACTAGTTACATTTCAAGAGCATTGCGAGACTCTTTAAACAATTTGCACAGATAGATTAGATAAAATAAAAAATAAAATAGAGTTCATAGGTTAAAAAAATTATGTAAAATAAAAAATATATCTTTTTTCTTTATTTTAATTTGTAAAAAATGAAAAGTATGCTTGGAATTACTCCCCAAAGGTGCTCAATAAGAAAGGATAAAATTATATTCTTTAAAAAATAAAATGCATCCTGTTAAAATTTTGACTTAGGCCTTGTTTGGGATGTACTAATAAGTACGCATTTTTTATCTTTTTATCTTTTATCCATGACATCACCTCTCTACTTTTCTATATATCTTTTCTTAAAAAATCAAAAAATACACTTATTTAGATCATTCTAAACCACTCCTTAGATCTGTCGAGTGTGGCCGCTCCTGCTCCCGAAAGTTGTAGGTTGTAATGTTATTGTCATAGGTAGAGTATTTTTGATTTTCCACAATCGCAATCATATAATTAATTTCTTGTGACCTCTATTGATTGACTGGAATTATGTATGTCAACAAGAAAATTGCCAAACATATAACTCTATCACTTATTTAAAAAAAGAAAAAAGAAAAAAAAGAAGTCACATGAATTTTAATGATAGATTTTTTAATTTTCAATGAATAGATATATATTTTAAGTTTGCCTCATATATATTTTAAGTCTAGTTTTTATTTGATTGTTCAGTTCAATTGTTTGTAAATCCGTGTGTAACTTAAGAGACTAATAAAATATTTTCAAATTTTTAATTTTAATCTTCAAATTAAATTGAATGACCAAATCAAAACTAAACTTAAGATGTATAGATTAAATTGTTTAATTTAAAACAATAAATATCAAAATAAAATTTGAGTCAAATTACAAAAATTAAAAATATAATTTACCCGTATAAATAAGTCACATAATTATGTATGGAATTTTTTTATATTTTAATTATGTTGATTTAATAATTACTTCATGAATAAAGGCAAAAGAGAGCGTGTTCGAATGATCACATACGCGAATTGTGGACTCCTCGATGTTTAAAAAAACAATAAAACGTGGTAACTCGAAAAAAAAATTAACCCGAATGACTATTGTTTTGGGTAGTGTTTTTTTTTATTTTATTTTTTCCCCCTCTTCCCTTCTGTTTAATCTGTTTTATCTCTGAAACAGACAGAAAAAGAGGAAGAAAAGAAGGAGAAGAAGGACAAACCCTTCTGTTTTATCTCTGAAACAGACAGAAAAAGAAGAAGAAAAGAAGGAGAAGGACAAAAGATGGAGAGGAGAGGAGACGAGAGGAGAGGAGAAGAAGGATAAAAGATCTGTGATAGATCTGTGTATACACACACGTATACACAGAGGAGACAGTGATCAGCGCAGGTGGGGGAGCAGAGGACGGAAATCGCCATGGACGGGACGGAGATCACTGTGGACGGGGAGGCCGAAGCTAGATCTTGATTTTGGGTTTGGTGATTTTGATTTTGATATTGATGTTGGGATTGATTTTGGATTTTGATTTTGATTTTGATTTTGATTTTAGGTTTGGTTCAATCTTGTTTTCTAGATCATCCCGAACGAAACATATCAATGAATCAACTTCTTTTTCTGTAAGTAAATTTGGGTTCTTGCTGATTAGGTAAAATGATTTTGATTTTGGGTTCTTGCTTGTACTGAAGAAGATTTTGTTTTGATTTTGGTTTTGAAACACGTTGATTTACAGAATTTTTTTTGATTTTGATTGGGTAAAATAATTTTGTTTTGATCAATCCCACTGCTTTTGAATTAGTTTCGATCTCTTCTTGCTTGTACTGAAGAAGATTAATCCCAAAATCAAAATTAGTCCTACTAATTTTCAGTGAGACGATTAGGGGAAGAGTTGTTGTTGCTTGTACTGAAGAAGAGAAAATACAAAAGAAGAAGAAGAGGAGGAAGAAGAAGAAGAAGAAGAAGAAACAGAGGAAGGAGGGAAAGGAAAGAGAGAGAGAGAGAGTTGTTACTTTTATTTGAAATGAAATGTGTGAGTTTTGTTGGGAGTATTAATTAGTGCTTTCGCTAATTAGGTGGCAGTGGATCTTGCCATTAATGATGTGATGTTTTGATTTTGGAGTTATATTTTTTTTTTTCTAATACATTAGTGCTATTAGTAGTGATATTTTTAATGGGATGAATCATTGTTGAAACATGAATAACTTGTACAAAGTAACGGGGGTATACAAAGAACTTGGGCCATTCGAGCCTGATTATTTTTGAGTTATAAATCAGAACGGTTAAAAAAAACTAGATTGACCATTCTAATGAAAGAAAATTCAGCTTGTGCTATTCTCTACTTTCTTGTGCGAATTGGCCCATGACATGAACAAGTCTACATATCTCTAAATTATGGTTGCCAATATAATGTGTTCACTGACGACTACAATTAAATACATTAATATTGTGTTTGATTAGAGAATTTGAGCAGCGATTTAGAAAGATAAATGAAAAAGGTATGTGAAATACGAATAAAATATACTTATATTTTATTTAATTTCATACACATTTTTTCTTTCTCCTTTCAAATTACTTCTCAAATCTCTTAACTAAACACAGCATAAAAATACGCTGAAAGAAATGTCAAACACAATCTATCCTGTGTACCCTCGGCAATGTTATAAATATTAAAAAATTTATTGAAAGCAGATGTGTTTAAGTATTCTTTGGTGTTCAATCATTCACTTTGTTTGATTTTGGAATTTTTTAAATTAGTTTTCGAATTTTTAGTTCATATTTTTGAATTTTTAGTGAAATTTTTCAATAGTTTAATCATTTTTTTTTAAAAAGTTTTTGATCTACTTAAACTACATATACTTAAAAAGTACACATAAAAATTCATTAAATTCAAAAAATATAAAAAATTAGTATATTTTTATAGTTATTGAATTATTTTTAAATTTCTTCACAAATATTTTACTTATTAAGTATATTTAGATTAGGTACATCTAAAAAAAGATTGATTAAAATATTAAAAAAAAAATGCACTAAGGAAAAAAAAAAATTCAAAAACTCAAAATCAAATAATTTATTATTATTTTTTTGACAATTAATTATATTTAACCTCCTATACTTCTAATAAAAATTTAGTAAAGATGTTATTGTGGATGGTGAATGTATCTCCATAAATGGATTAGCAAGACAAGGCGCTTTACTCTGCTTCTGCAAGAAACTATCCAAAGTTAGAGATCACTCCTGACCTCTAACGATCAAGTCAGCATTGAGATCGGACATGATTATAAAAAGGGAAATTTAGCAAATGTAATGATGTTTTTAGTGTTTACCGTTCCATGCCCTTGCCTCCTTGCATGGTCCTCCTTTTATAGCCAAT